TGTCTTTCAGTATGTGGAGTACTACTCCCGACCGGGACAGGAGATTTCGCCATTGTCGTCGCATCCTTTTCAGTTGGAGCTAAATCCTCGGAATTCAGGTCAATCAGCGGACCAAAATTAACCTCACCATCGTTATAGTGCGCCATACTATCGGTTTGGCAAGAATCCCACCGCTGCCACCAGTGTAACGCGCCGAAATAAAGGACAGATCCTTCACGTAAATACACACGCGTCGTTTTTAATTCTCTTCTCAATTCTCCGATTCAGACCTCTTCCGGAGATCCTATTACAACAGCGTGGTGATTTCGCAACAACAAATAATGTCACGTATTCGTTCGTCACAATAATAAGAATTTGTGCATAAAACAGCTCTGAAGTCATAACGTTTAATATTTTGCTAGAGGGTGGGAAAGGGTTTCTTCGTGAAGCGTGATCGCCCCAAAATTAGCAGCGTGATGCGTGATTGAGACCAAATTAGCCGCGTGACGTGGGACATGTGAGGACATCATAACGTGATGCGTTATTTGCGATTTTATAAGCACGTGATGCGTGATTTCCCAATTAGATTTCCGTGATAAGTTAACGTTCTTTTAACTAGAAGGATAGCATTCATTCAAAGTAAATAGTGAATAGGGTCTGGTCTTTGTCGTCGTTTTCTTGACCGCTGATGTCTTTGATCTTCGTGGATCTCATGGCACCATAGGTCCAGACAATTGTGATACAATTTATAGGCCGGGAATAAGTCAATTGAAAATAGTTAAATTTTGCGCAAGGACTATAAGCGTCAGTAGTATTTTTGTTCATTTTGTTGACCGATCATTTTTGGCAGTGCATCAGACCAAGAAAATATGACACACCATTTCCTCATCCGGCTATCGTATAAAAGGTTTGAACGAATTTCGTCCAAAACGGCTGAAACGATAACACACGTCAGAGTTTGGTGTCATTTTATGGCGCTCGAGAAGACAGTTGTGTAAGCAACGAGAGACTACACAAGGGAAACCTCCGTGTGCCACTTAATGAAGGTCGTCATAAAGACCCAACTAAATTCAAAAGCCACGTTATATCCTTTATAGGCATTGCCGCACAGAAAAGGATTTGCAGGCGTAAAGCTTTGATATAAATATTATCTATATATTAGAGCATGGCAAAGGTGGCGTAGACGTCTTCTCAATTCGTATACAAGATATCTGCCAACTTATCCTGTGAACAGCTCAAGTCTCCCGATTGTTCTCGAGGGGAAGGAAAAAACAGGCGGGAAGAGATAGCCGAAAGTGGCCGAGTCTGGAGAGGGAAAAATCCCAACCCGCCGGGCTCGCTTCGCTCGCCCTATTTTATTTTTTTCGCGCTCGTCGGGAGCCTGTTCACTTAAAGACGGTGAAAACTCTCCCAGATTATCCAGGAGCCTCATCGATACAGACCGAATCTCCCGGTCTCCGGTGCAGGTCACCACCTTTATTTGACCGGGGGGGGGGGATTATTGGACTAATTAATAATGTAAAATATTACAAAGAAAGTTTTAGATGAATATGATAACGTTGATGATTTTAATGGTGTAGATTTTTCCCATTGAATATGTGAATATCTTCTTTTATCCTAAGCTGGAAAGTGATGGAAGCGTGATCTATAGGATACTGAAACAGTCATTGGAGCATGAAGTGCGGCATTGCTGAGAATTCTGTAAGTGTTTGAAAATGTGAGAGGTCCTATCATTGGACAGGTGCGAGAGAGTTTTCGAAAAGCTCCGTTTTCATGACGGATTACTCTGGACCGTAGGCCTAACCATAGAAATAAAGCTGCATGTGTTTTTAAATTCCTCCGGCGTAGTGTGGACGGAGTCTGGGGCAAACCACGACGTCAATGAGCACCACCAAACAAAAGGTTTAATGAGCAAAACAAAGGCTGTACAAGTGTCTTCAATAAACCTTGACATTTAATAGCCGTCCTCTGCAAAACAACAACGCAAAATGACCGCGAACGAGTCGAACTGCTAAGTTTTCGTATTTCCATTTAGAATTGAACACTGTCATTACATATTTGGTCTGAGCGAGGTTTTAGAGCCATAGGCATCCTGGTCAAATTCAATTTTACAAGGCGTTGTCCTCGGCGTCGCCGTCGTCATTGTTAAGACCCCTATATTTGCATCTCGGATGCTGGAAGGTCGATACACTTGTTTCACGTGGGGACTGTCATCCTAAGTCGCTGCTTTGTGCTTTGCTCATGTTTTATCCCAAGACCAATCGAACCGGCGCAGATGAGAGTATCGTGTAAAAACCGTAAAAA